CATGCCCTACCTACCTGCTCTGTGTAATGGGTTTGCACAGAGCAGCCCTCTTCTGGAGTCCCCCCCCGGTGCTCCTGGCTCCTCCCCCTTGACCAGTGCCGTAATGGCAAGCCGCTTGCTATGGGGGGGTTACTGGTGCATGCTCGCTCCTGGGCCCCGCTCTATGAGTCCATAAGATTCACAGAACCTCGGCTTGGCCCTGCCGCTTACTCTGTCTTCATTGGCTCACTTGCTGTGATTGACAGTAGTGACAGTCAATGGCTCCTACTGCTGTCTCAACCAATGATAAGGGAGAGACCCGGGACAGCTGAGGCTCTCATGCACATCGCTGGATCGGGAGGGGGCTCAGGTGAGTATTGGGGGGGATGTGGGGAGGGAGTTTTACCTTCATGCATACTGCGGGCAGCATAGCGGCTAAATGGTTGGCCCTTCCGCCTGGCAGTACTTGAGTTATCGGTTCAATTCCCAACCACGGCACCACCTGCCTGGAGCTTGAATGCTCTCCCTGTGCCTGCGTGGGTTTCCTCCGGGTTCTCCAGTTTCCTCCTACACTCCAAAGACATGCTGGGAGGTTAATCAGATCAGCATTTGCTGAGACAGCAGTGGGAGCCATTGACTCATGTTCATATACTAGGGCCAATGATGAGAGAGAGACCCGGGACAGCCGAGGCTCTCATGCACATCGCTCAGGAGGGGGCTCAGGTGAGTATTGGGGGGGGGGTTGTGGGAAGGGAGCTTTACCTTCATGCATACTGTGGGCAGCACAGCGGCTAATTAGTCAGAACTTCCGTCTGGCAGTACTCAGGTTATCGGTTCAAATCCCAACCACAGCACCACACGCATGGAGCTTGAATGCTCTCCCTGTGCCTGCGTGGGTTTCCTCCGGGCACTCCAGTTTCCTCCCACACTGCAAAGACATGCTGGGAGGTTAATCAGATCCTGTCTAAATTGGCCCTAGTATGTGTATGTGAGTTAGGGATGTTAGGCTGGTCGCCCCTCGGGGGCGGGGACTGATGTGAATGTATAATATATATATATAAATTGAGTCCCGATAATAAATAAATATTGTAGAAAACCTTAAGTCTTTACAACCACTTCAAAGAAAATCTCCTTTTTTAGTCGTTTCATATAAAAATGATTATTATTTAGGATCATGACGGTAGTGACAGGGCTGGGACAAGGGGTGGGCAGGAGGGGCAGGCGCCCCCCGGGGGGGGGAAAGCTGTAGAGAAGCTCCCCCTCACCACAAGCACTTGTCAAATCAATGGCTAACAACCAACAAACCAAGGCTTCAGGTCTGCCTTCAGAGCTCCCGCTATCCCGCCGGGCTCCAGCATGCCCGATCTCCCCCCCACACGCACACAGCGGGTTCCTACAACACAACACGCATGTGCAGCTCCCTTGTGGCTCATTCTAGAAAGCTAGCGATTGGCCAGAATTTGGCCCATGCAGTGCATGTCAACCACGGGCAGCCGGAGCAAGGCGGGTAAACTCCTTGACAAGCGCTTGTTGGACTTCAACTGCAGTCCTTGGAAATCCCCAATACTTGCAGGTATGGGGGACATGGGACCTTCCCACAATGCACTGCTCAGGGCTAAGCAGCCACACCAAATGGTGCCGAATTGTTGGTATTATTGGGAGGAGTTGTGCCCCTTCATTGGTGTCAGTGGGAGGATCTACATATGCCCAATTGTTGGTGTCAGTGAAAGGAATAGTGCCTCGTCATTAGTGGGAAGAATTGTGCCCCATTGTTGGTGTCTTTGGGAGGAGTTGTGACCCATTGTTGGTGTCATTGGGAGGAATTGTCCTCTATTGTTGGTGTCATTGGGAGGAATTGTCCTCTATTGTTGGTGTCTTTGGGAGGAATTGTGGCTCTTCATTGGTGCCAGTGGGAGGACCTACATATGCCCTATTGTTGGTGTCAGTGAAAAGAATAGTGCCTCATTGTTGGTGTCTTTGAGAGGAATTATCCTCTATTGTTGGTGTCATTGGGGGGGAATTGTGCCCCTTCATTGATGTCAGTGGGAGGACATGAAAATGCCCAATTGTTGGTGTCAGTGGAAAGAATAGTGCCCCATCATTAGTGGGAAGAATTGTGCCCTATTGTTGGTGTTATTGGGAGGTGTTGTGCTGCACTGTTGGTGTCATTGGGAGGAATTGTCCTCTATTGTTGGTGTCATTGGGAGGAATTGCGCCTCTTCATTGGTGCCAGTGGGAGTATCTACATATGCCCAATTGTTGGTGTCAGTTGAAGGAATAGTGCCCCCTCATTAGTGGGAAGAATTGTGCACCATTGTTGGTGTTATTGGGAGGAGTTGAACCCCATTGTTGGTGTCATTGGGAGAAATTGTGCCTCTTCATTGGTGCCAGTGGGAGCACCTACATATGCCCAATTGTTGGTGTCAGTGGATAGAATAGTGCCCCATTGTTAGTGGGAAGAATTGTGCACCATTGTTGGTGTCATTGGGAGGCATTGTGCCTCTTCATTGGTGTCAATGGGAGGATCTACATATGCCCAATTGTTGGTTTCAGTGGAAGGAATAGTGCCCCCTCATTAGTGGGAAGAATTGTGCCCCATTGTTGGTGTCTTTGGGAGGAATTGTGCCCCTTCATGGGTGTCATTGGAAGGACATATGCACAATTGTTGGCGTCAGTGAACAGAATTGTGCCCCAAGGGCTGGATAAAAGCAAGCAAAGGGTCACATGCAGCCCCCGTGCCGCAGTTTGGAGACCACTGCTATACAGGAAGAGTTATCATACAGGAAGAGTTGCTATAGAGGAAGGGTTGCTATAGAGGAAGGGTTGCTATAGGGGAAGGGTTGCTATAGGGGAAGGGTTGCTATAGGGGAAGAGTTATCATACAGGAAGAGTTACTATAGAGGAAGAGTTATCATACAGGAAGAGTTGCTATAGGGGAAGGGTTGCTATAGGGGAAGGGTTGCTATAGGGGAAGAGTTACTATAGAGGAAGAGTTACTATAGAGGAAGGGTTACTATAGAGGAAGGGTTACTATGGAGGAAGGGTTTACTATAGAGGAAGGGTTACTATGGAGGAAGAGTTACTATAGAGGAAGAGTTACTATAGAGGAAGGGTTACTATAGAGGAAGAGTTACTATAGAGGAAGAGTTACTATAGAGGAAGGGTTACTATAGAGGGAAGAGTTACTATAGAGGAAGAGTTGCTATAGAGGAAGAGTTGCTATAGAGGAAGAGTTACTATGGAGGAAGAGTTACTATGGAGGGAGAGTTACTATGGAGGGAGGGTTACTATGGAGGAAGGGTTACTATGGAGGAAGGGTTACTATGGAGGAAGGGTTACTATGGAGGAAGGGTTACTATGGGGGAAGGGTTACTATAGAGGAAGAGTTACTATAGAGGAAGGGTTGCTATAGAGGAAGAGTTACTATAGAGGAAGGGTTACTATAGAGGAAGAGTTACTATAGAGGGAGAGTTACTATAGAGGAAGAGTTGCTATAGAGGAAGGGTTACTATAGAGGAAGGGTTACTATAGAGGAAGAGTTACTATAGAGGAAGAGTTGCTCCACCAACTTTTGAAATTTGCCCGACCTCCGTAAGTTGATAAGAAAAGGTTCAGCCTACTTTTGCATTGCTTTGGGTACAGCCCTTGTAATAATGTTTCACGTTTTGTTTCTTGAACCTTGGAAGGCACACCAATCTGATTGAGTAGAACGTGTATGACACCCCCTCAGACAGATCCATAACCCGAATAGATTTGCATCTTACTATCACATCCTATCACAGAAAGTCTTTGGAAGTTTCTTCTCTATTGGCCGTCTTCTAATTAAGTGACACCAATTGAGTGGGAAGTAAACATCGGCCGGCAGCAAGCTCTGACATACTGGTGGCATTCAAAGGTTCTGTGAGGGGTCCCCTCCCTTCTGTAGGCACATGGGATGGGGGGTGGGGGGGGGTCATACTCGTATTTACAAAATCAACCTGCTTCAATGAAGACACCGAATTTCTTCCCCGCTCTGTTATGACCCTTAATGTGATTAAACGACCTTCCCACACTTGGAAATGACAAAGAGGTTTATTTCACGTAGGAAGGTGTGCTGGAAGGAGGAGGATGAATCCTTGAAGGATCTCTCCATCACCAGGACATGAGATGAGACCTTTTATGGCAAGTTGAGGCAGGGAGACGCTACAATCCGTGGGAGACGTGTCTCCTGCTTCTCTCTGAATTACGTGTTCTCCCTTTTTTTTTCTTTTTTTTCACATAGGGGGAATTACACATTTTTCCATAGCTGGAGCGATCGCAGCTTCCAACGTGTGTTCGCTGAATCACAGGGAGGAGGGGGGAAGTGAAGTGCCATCTGTTTCCAAGGAGATGGAGGCTCCAACCAATGGGCGCCTTGTGCGTAGTATGGGGTTTGCTGATAACTCACAAGACCAGCTCTGCTAGATAGAGTATAAATACCCTCGCCGGCAAACTATTCCCACAAACTCAACCGCCAACAGCTACAAAGTGTTTTCCTCCACACGCTGGCGGCTTTTACCTGCTCCATCTCTTCTTCGGATTTCCATCTCCGACTTCGAGACGGGAACTTCTTCTAATCCAGCCCTTGGCCAAGAAGGGTTCTTCGTCTTTGAACCATCACCCCCTTAAGATTTTGGGACGTATCTCCAATTGCCTCTGCTTGCATTAGAAGTTCTGAAAAGACCGGACTTTGGGTGATATCCAGCTGAAGCCTTTCAGTTCCTCTTTTTTTCTTGCTAAAAAGCCCCGACAGCCGTGATTTGTAATTCCGCTCGTTTTTAGGCTTGCTGAATATAACTAGCTGGAAGGAATTGTTAGGAATCGACCTGTGAAAATGCTCTTAGCCTAACAGAGCGAGGAGGCTTGCGAGAGCCTGGCTGCCCGACGATTTGCTTTTTTTTTTTTTAAAGTTTGCTGCTTGTACAAAAAAAAAAAGTTATCAAACTTTAAAATTAACCATTTGCTGGCTACATTTGTAGTCTTTTACACAACAGCTCATTAAAATGGCAGCGAGCCTGGCTCTCAGCGGCGTTGTGGCGCCCGCTCTCACTCTTCCCGAACAAACGGTTGCTCTCCAGATTGGCACTTGTAGCCCAGCCGAAATGTTGGACAGGGTTAGGAAGACGCAGGTGTACATTCTGTCTGGGGTCTCCAAGCAGGTGGAAAGTGAGCTGAAAGGGTTTAAGAGGTCTGTGCAGAGGCTGAATGCCAACATGACCGATCAGTCACCCTTGGTGGGGATCCAGAGGTGGAAGCGATCGATAAAGGCTTGCCTTCTTAGGTGCCAGGATACTTTGGTCAACTTAGAGAGGTGGGTGAAGAGAGAGATGAACTCTTGGAGGGGGGTGTTTTCCCGATTTGAAAAAATGGTAGTCAAGGAAGAAAAGCCTAGAAGGTCTTTCTATGGAGAGAGAAGTGAGAAGGACAAGGAGGCAGAGGCAGCTCAGGTAGCTCAGGAAGTTCTTGATAACCCTAATCCTTATGCCCCTACCCCACCATGCTCTCCTCCTCCTCCAGCTCCGGCATTGCCATCCCAAGCATGCCAGCAGCACCACTGGGTTGTCATTTCCGTTGACATCCTCTCCCCCCCTGAATTTGATGCAAACATGTCTGAGGATCCTCGGGATTTCCTCGTGAACTTAGAAAAGTATTTTAAAACGCAGTGGGTGGAATGAAAAAATCTGGCTGTCTCAGGTAGACAACCACTTGAAAGGTGCGGCCAAGAAGTGGTGGGAATACAGGCAGGAGACCATAGACAACTGGCATGACTTCAAAGTGTCCTTCCTGCAATACTGCGAACGTTTAGTGGTGAGAGAGGCCATCAAGAGGGACCTAGACCTTCCCCAGAGGCGCTGGGAGCCCTTAGAGCAGTTTGTATGGAAGAAAAGAGCCCTCTACCACAGGCTCTACGTGGATGCCAATGAGGAAGACATGATCCGATGCATCATTAGCACCCTACACCCAGAGATCAAGCGTTTCCTCAAACCCCCTCTCCCCAAGACCATGGACCAGCTAGTGCAGATGGGTAAGGAAATCCAGTTTGACTTTGAGCAGTCGGAGAAGCAAACCCTCAAGGCCGCATATTCCGATGAGCAGATTAGCACCAAACTTAACGTCCTCGTCACTAAGGACCCTTACGATAGCAATAGCGTCTGCACTGAAAAAGCTAGCTACGAGTAGGAAAGTTTAACCACAACTTTTGGATCCATTTGTTGCTCTCTGGTGAGAAAAAACATCAGCTCTTGAAATGGAAGAGTGACGTTAGCTAGAGAACTTTGCAGTAATCTTTCTTGACTTTGCAGAGTGGTTTTCCTGGGCTACAAGTGACAAGGTGATGGCTTGTGTCTGGTATAGGAATGAAGTCAGCTGCGACAATTTCAAGTTTTTATGGCGGGTCAGATATATGTCGCAGAATTCGATACATTTAACGGCAGTCAAGTCTTAATGACCGCCGAATAACAATAGAGCGTCTAATTTCTTCATACATCGTTCTATCATCAACTCCAAACGAGATAGACGATGCTTAGATCTTACTACGCACATAGGACATATTGCCCTGCAGGGCTCCAGAGAGGAAGCACTGATTGCTGTACTGGTGGCCACTTCCAGTAAATGGGATTTGGGTAAAATTTACGGACTGTCACCAGAATCTGGTGTCGCAGTTTGAAGCCATTATCACAGAAACGGCCCATTCATTGTTTGCACGATTGCCAGACGAAACCATTTACTATAAGTGGGGGGCTATTTTCACAGCGTTCTGCCGTTTCCCTTTAAATTTCAGGGAATAACGGCATTCGTGGGAAAGGTAACCATTTGTTCGGTTTTAAGAGCATATTTCTTTTTTTTTTTAATGGCTGAATGTGTAAAAAGCAAAAAAAAAAAAAAAAAAAGAAAAAATTTAAATATTTTTGATATTTTTTAATGTGCTTAGTGTACAGAAATATCACCCATGAAATCTATGATGTATAGTGCAATATCTTGTATATATTAGAACAATTCCTTAGAATAATTTGATTTTGATGATCAGGCAATAACATTTTCTAACATTTCATATATTGTGAGCAATGTGTTCACTTTTTGAAGAATGTCGGATGTTCTAGAAATTTTTCGACTTTTTCTGTGGTCTTCATTATGAAATGAATGTTTTTTGGGGGGGTTGTGGGCTCCCTATATGAACACTCGGTAGCACTTTTATATCAGCTTGTCAGATACAAATGGACAATCAGCATGGGACTTTATGCAAAGTTTATATCATGGAAATCTGACTAAGCATCAATACTAGATGGACGATTTCAGCTTTTCACAACCATCTCCTTTACTTGGAAGCCACCACTTCCTTTGAGGTATCTAAGATGTTCCACTCTACCTGCAAAAGAGACTGCATGACCAGGACCCAATGTTCTTGGCAACGTCAGCTACTGGCTTTGGTGGCTTGGAATGTAAGACCCCCTACATGACTCCTGCAGCCAGTCATTCTCAGGAATATCTGATAACTCCAGCAATTCTTGAACTGATTGGACTTGGTCGATACAGAGATGAAAGGACATGAAGATCTCTTCCTTCTGGCCTACAATCCCAGGCGGTTAACAATGGCGCCTTGTCTGGAGTAACCTACGAGGCACTCTCAAGACATGACCATCGTTCTCTTAACCAGAGGTCCAAAGGACTGACGATGGAGGCCCACCCAGCGAGCTAAACAAAGTAAGTATCTTTGAAGAACTATTAAAAACTAGTAGCTTAAAGAATGTCTTTAGTAAGTAACTAATATATAATATATCACTAACGGCCAGTATACTTTATGATCTTCTGAGTGCACATACTTAAACCATGGCTAGTGCGCCCTACCCTCTATCCTCTAGAAGCCCTCTACCCTTTAGTAGCCCTCTACTTTAGTAGCCCTCTACTACCCTCTACTAGCCCTCTACCCTCTACCCTCTACTAGTGCTGTACCCTCCCTACTACTAGCCCTCTACCCCTACTAGTACCCCCTAGCTCTACCATGAAGTAGCACTCTACCCTATAGTAGCTCTTACTTCTAGCAGACAATATAATGTATTGAACCTTTAGTATGATTTGTATTCTAACCTGTCCTTCCTTTTGTTTTCAGGTACAAAGAGTAAAAGCTCATTCGCCTGGAAACCCACTGGCCTTGCATCATCCTTGCCCAAGCTTTGGGCCAACATTTCAGACCAAAAGAAATGGTCTCAGCCAAATGAAAAGATGGCCAATGCTGGAAGAGGTCTTACATCAATCTGACCGTTTACTCCAAAACCCCCCCCCCGGGGTTCAACATGAACTTGGACTTAACAAAGCTTCATATTCAAAGCAATCGTTCTTTCATTTTACAACCACCTTCCCGAATCTTCACAACCTTCCACTTCCAGCTCCATGCCTCTCTCCAAGGTGCATCGTCCGCTCCAGTCTCCATACATTTGGAGGACATCCTTCCTAAGATGCAGATATCTTTCATGCAATAGGTCTGGCGTGCAATGAATGTACATTTTTTTTAATGAAAGAATGTTGATACCTCTCTCATCATTTACCGGAATGTTCCACTTAAGAGGACAAACTTATGAACTTTCGAGGAACATGTCGTTCTAAAAAAAAAAAAAAAAAAAGTGACCTTAACTGGACAGCAGTAGCACTTTTACTAAGAAAAGAAAAACAAATTGAGTGTTTTGCACAAATGATCAGTCTTGTCTCTTCTTGTATGAAAGCACATTGCATTATCCAAAGATCATGTACAGAGGTTGAGATTACCTGAAAGCCATAATGTATTCATACGATTTGTTGGTTAATAAAATTATATTTGATGGAAACCTCGCGGATCTCTTATTTCTGGGCGTTGGAGGATTTTAGGTAGATGGGGGAAGGTTCTCATTTCTCCAGGTCACAGTGGCGCAGGGGTGGACTGACAACTCATGGGGCCCCGGGCAATAGGGGATCATGGGGCCCCTGTGTCCTTGCCCAAGCTCAAAAAAGCCTATGAAAAAGGTACCGGGGCATCTCATGGGGCCCCCTACTGACCCCGGGCCCTCGGGCAGTGTCCGAGTTGCCAAATGACCAGTTCGCCCCTGCAGTGGAGTCGATTTACTAAAACTGTACAGTGCAAAACCCGGTGCAGCCAATTAGCTTCTAGCTTCAGCTTCTTCAGTGAAGCTTTGACAATAAAACCCGGAAGCGGATTGGTTTCTGTGCACGGATGCACCCGATTTTGCACTCAACAGCCTTAGTAAATCCCCCCCCCCCCGATGTGTCTAGTAGTAGGTGGCCACGTTGACCTGGACCTGTTCTGTAATGTTGGAGATGTTTCACTGCTTATCCAACACGGCTTCAGCCTGGACAAGGAGGAACGTCTTCAATCATACAGAACAACCAAAAGTATAACTAAAGGCAAAACAATGGATGAAGGGGAGAGGGATTAGAACCCCCTGTAACGGAACCAACCCAGACTGTGCTTGAGTACTTCCATTAGAATATCGCTTCCCCGTCCGAACACCGACCACAGACACCACCGCTGACCATACAAGACCAGACGACACCAATCTTGATGTAAGCCAGGAAGTAGACTAGTTTATTTGAACACAGATACAATATACAAACAATATAATACACACAGCAGGGCAATCCCCCCTCCCTGCATAATGACAATCCCCCCTCCCTGCATAATGACCAGGGCATAATGACACAGGGCGGGGCAATCCCCCCTCCCTGCATAATGACACAGGGCGGGGCAATCCCCCCTCCCTGCATAATGACACAGGGCGGGGCAATCCCCCCTCCCTGCATATTGACACAGGGCGGGACAATCCCCCCTCCCTGCATAATGACACAGGGCAGGGCAATCCCCCCTCCCTGCATAATGACACAGGGCGGGGCAATCTACATTTAGTAACAACAGACACACAGGTATTCAAACTTCACACCAGCAGACAGTCCCATCAGGAGGGAGGGCTGCTGGAGACACCCCCACACTAAGCTAATACACATACATCCCATAATAGTTTGCTCCCAAGCCAGACACACAATAGAACAATGGGATGCAGTCACATGACATTAAACAATCCATTACCCCACACCCACCTATCTCCTAGACATGTCTACACAGTCTGAGACAAAGCCCCCCAATATTAGGACAGATCACCCTGTACCCCTAACAGGCACAGGGTGACTTACACACAAGAGGGATATGGGGAGCTGAGACAGGGGTCTCCCCACCTCTCCAAAGTGAGCTGGGTTCCATGGGCCCCCCACCCAAAGTGACTCCCGTCACGCCCCCTGTCAGGTTTTTAGAGCTGTTGGTGTCCCTGTTGGGAAGATTCACCCAATTTGTCCTTTTTACCATTATCAGTGAAAGTGAAAGAAAATCCCAAATGTTGGGTTGTCTGCAGAAAAGTCATAGAGGGGAAATCTTCTAAGGGGGACACTATTTCTGGTGCCCTGGGGGGGCCCAAGGGATTCCCTCACAATGAGGGGATTTCTTCTCACTTCCGGTTTCGGCTATGGGGCAGGAAGTGAAGGGAAATCTCTCATCATATCGCTCCTCGTGACGGAGACCGGGTGGGAATCCCCGGCTGACAAGGGGAGGATCCAGGAAAGGAAAAGTATGGTAAGGATGGAATACAATTTTCCTTATTCCTGGACCTCCCCATGTCAGCCTACCACGGGATGTACCAAACAATGCTAAAAAGGAACAAAGGGGGGGGGGGGGGGGGGGAAACAAGACACAAACAAACTGAATGCTGCACATAAACCCCTATTACTGACAGACGCTGCAATGACTGTAGATCCAAAAAATACTTCACCGATGGAAAAGCCATACTCATTCTGTGGTGGCAAATAAATGCATTTGCCATGCTCCTGCTTGCTGCCCTGCAGACCGCCTTTGCTGGCACTTTACCTTATGCTGCCCATTAAATTGAAATGCTTCTCGTTGAATTAGCTCTCACTTCCAAAGGTGGTGGCAAGTCTAGGACTTTGTAGACAATCTGAATGGTCTTGACAATCCACGAAGACATGACCTTGGGTAGTACCGTGAAGCCCTTCCTTGGACCTTGAAGGTATAAAGACTGTCTCGTTCACGGGTGTCCTCCATGCATTTCAGATGTACTGAGAATGAATGAACCAGATCTAACTTCTTCCACTCATCCTCTGACCCATCTTCCAGAAAAGGTGAACAT